TGAAGTTTAGGGACGGCAAAAAGGCTCAAAACCTCAGTGACTGTGAGAATGGCGGCACTATTAGTAGAAATTCAGAAATCTGGAGGAGGTATAGGGTTTTGTTTATTTTAGGAGAGATAAGTTGTTTTAGACATAAGTTTGAGGTTTTACAGGATATCCAGGTTGGAAATGATTAGTAAACAGTTAAAAATTCTAATCTGGAGCTCATGAGAGGGATAAAGCCTGGAATAAAAATTTGGCAACCATCCTCATAGGTGCAATAAGTGGTGCCATAGGGCAGCACAAGCACTAAGTGAAAGAAAGGAAGCCCGAAGATATAACTTTGTGGAATTCCCACATGGACAAATACAGTCCTTTAGTGCGAGACATATTTCCTAATGTCTAGGCTATTTTCTAACAGTTGGACGTGAATTGATGACTTAGGTAATCACATTTTGTTCAGTTTCTCAGTTGGGTCTGACTCTTTGTGACCCCATTAGAAGTTTTCTTGGCAAAGATACTGGAATACTTTGTCATTTCCTTTTCCAGCTCATTTTGCAGATGAGGAAACTGAGGCAAACAGGGTTGAGTGACTTGCCCAGGGTCACACAGCTAGCAAGTATCTGAGGCCAGATTTAAACTCAGGAAGATGGGTCTTCTTCACTCCAGACCTAGGAATTCATCCACTGAGCCCTTTAGCTGACCTAATCACACTACTGATTATTTTTTATTATTTTTATTTTATTTTATTATTTTATTTATTATTTATTAATTTATTTACTTTTAATTTGAATTAGAAAATCTAATCCTTTTCAAATATTGGACCATTCTGAATTTAAGCCTTTGGATATAAAATGTTACTAAACACCATTAAAATGACATCTTGGAGAAAGATTATAACTCTCTTCTTGCCATCTGTCCTACAGAAGAACTCTCTGGAACACTGGACCTTCAGAGACCAAGCCCTTTAGACTTCACCCCTTAGCTTTAGAATATTTTTCCTGGGGCCTGTGCTTTCCTGAGTGGTGAATTCATGAGTGCATGCTTAGGTGGCTAGATGACCCATAGTATCTAACTGACCTCAATCATTCTTCATGTCTATGTCATTGCTCTTCATCAGACACAATGGATCACTCAGAGTCCAAGGGTTCAGAGTCCTTTTACTAAGGAAATGCAAAGAGATCAAAAGAAGAGGGAAAGACAATGTTTATGGCAAAAATATTTATAGCAATTCTTTGTTGCAGCACAAAGGACTAGAAGCAAAAGAAGTCCTATCGAATGGGAAATGACTAAAGAAATTATAGTACATAAAGGTAGTGGAACATTATCAAATTGCACAAAATGTTGAAATGGATGTTTTTAGAGAAACTTGGAAAGACCTGTATGAATGGATACAGAGTGAAGTGAGAAGAACCAGAACAATTTAAGCAATAGCAGCAACATTGTAAAGAAAAACAATTATGAAACTTCAAAACTAATAAGTGCAATGATCAACCATGACTCCACAGTATTGCTGATGAAATAAGTTACTCCACTCTTGATAATGTTGATGGACTCAAGATGTAGCATGAGGCATATGTTTCTGGATAAAAGTCATTTGTGGATTTGTTTTGTTTGAGTATGAGTATTTGTTATAAAGGTATTGTTTTTCTTTTTCACTTTTGGGAGACCAGAAAGGGTAAAAGGAGTCAATGATAATATTGCCAAAAAAAGAAGAAAAGAAGAGAGTCATTTATTTAAATACTTAAATAACAATTAAATTTAAATAAAATATTTAAATGAAAATGAACAAAAGAGAACAGAAGGGAGATCAGAAGAAAGCATAGACAAGCAGAATAGCTTTGAAGTAGCAAGAGTAAGGAAGGCTTATCTTCGTGATTTCAAATCTGACCTCAGACAACTTACTAGCTGGGTGACCTTCGGCAAGTCACTTCACTCTGTTTGCCTCCATTTCCTTCATCTGTAAAATGATCTGGAGAAGGAAATGGCAAACCACTTCAATATCTTTGCCAAGAGAACCCCAAATCGGGGTCATAAAGAACCAGACCATGACTGAAATGACTCAACAACTACAACAACAAAATTGAATTTATTGTGTGTCTATGTATGTATATGAATGTATAGTGTGCATGTATATGTATATCTATTTTAAAACATTCTATACATAGTAGACATTTACAATTTCACATGTAATCATCTTTTTCTGTCCTACATTGTATATTCATATGCTTTTTTGGGGACATATATTTCATGCAGAATAAAAAAGAAAAGAATCCATCAATTAAATTAAATTAAAATTGATTGGTTATTGGTGATTTTTAAGAGAGCAATTTCAATTGACCAATAAGATCGGGAGATTGCTGGACTGATTAATTTGGAAGCAGGTTTCTAATGGAATGTCCCAAAGATTTGTCGTAGGCCCTGTGCTAATTAATATTTTTGTCCATAACTTGGACGGCATGCTTATCAAACCTGCTGATGGTGCAAAGTTGTGAGAGACAGCTAACACATTACGAGACTGAGCCAAGATCCAAAAACATCTTGATGGGCTAGAATGATTACTCTGTTGTAACAAGATGAAATTTAATAGAAATAAATGTACATTTGGATGTACACTACATTTGGATTCAAAAAGTCTGTTTTACAATGGGAATGGGGAATAGGCGTGGGTAAACAACAGCTCTAGAGGATTGTAAACTTAGTACAAAACAATAGTGTACGGCAGCAGCCTAAAAGGCTAATATTGACTTGCATCTTATCAAGAGAGGCATTGAGTGCATAACAAGAGAGGTGCCCTTCTTAGACATTGCATTTAATTCTGAAAGCCATATTTTAGGAAGGACGTTGAAATGGTAGCTGTGTCTAGAAGAAGCTTTAAGGAAGGAGAGAAGACTGCAGAACATGTGAAATGAGTATTAATTGAAGAAACTCAGAATTTTTACCTACTCTGGAGAAGATTTAGTGGGGACATCAGAGCTGAATTCAAGTAGTTTAAGGGGCTGTCATTTGAATGCTTTTTAGGGTAGAATTAGAAAAATATAAGTGGAAGTTGCAGAGAGGCAGATTTAGGTTTGAAAGAATGAGAAAACTTCTTAATAATTGGAGGCAACCCAAACTGGAAAGGGCTGCTTTGGGATATAGTGCATTTGATGTCACTTCCTCTCAAGTGGAAGCTTGTTGACCACTTATTGAGAGATTTCTATATATAATATATGCAATCCACACTGGAACAGAAATTCTCTCAAGTGCACACGCACACACACACACACACACTCACAGAGTTCTCACTTTATGTAAGTGGACCATTTTGTAAAGAGATTTTTGTGTAATGTTAATTTGCCCACAAGTGTGGGGAATGGCAGGAGGCAGGAAGGAGGGGGCTGGCTGGTTCAACACATCGGAGTCAGGTATGGAGAAATGAGAGCAGTAGGAGGAACTTGGGACTAGCCATGTGGGGGTCTGCCTGAACCAAGAAGAAAAAGGAGGAGGCCGGACACATTGGGGCCTGACATAGCCACAGAGAGGAAAGGACAGGTAACAAATGGGGTGGAAAACAGATAAGGGGTATCTGAACTCAGAGGGAAGATAGACACTGCAGGTGGACACCTGGGTGGGTTGGTGGAGCAGATCAAAGGTCTCATGTCAAGCCAATCTGGCAGCAGTGACTGTTCTGCTTTCACTTGGAGAGTTTTTTTTCAAGTTTTTCTTTGCAAGTTTTTAAGTTTCTTTGTGTGTTGCAGAACAAGGAGCAGAAGTGGAGAGAGAGAAAAAGAGAGAGAGCAAGAGAGAGAGAGAGAGAGAGAGAGAGAGAGAGAGAGAGAGAGAGAGAGCGAGCAATGTACTGTACAGTAAAGTTAGCATGGGTGTTTTTTGAAATATGGATTTTTCTGTCAGAATTCTTTATGTAAAGTCAAATTTGCATAATGAGAATTTAGTAAAGCAAGAGCTCTTTCAATAAAGAATCAGTCAGTCTGCAGTGGGCTATGTGCTAGTGTCCAATGAGTCTTTCTATGGTAACAAAGAACTTGCTTGTTGAATTGAATTGAAATGAAATTAAATCATAGGATCATAAATTGGAATCTTCAGAGACCATATTGTCCAAACCATACATGAGCAGAAATTCCTCTCATCAAGCTTCTACCTGAGTGGAAGTGACAGCAAACCCAGCATATATTTTATAGACACTATGTATTTTATATTTATAGACACTAGTCATAGAGAATGACCCTCCCAGATAATAGTAGATAATTAATATCAATACAATGAACAGAGTACTACTGAACACTTGTGTTCTAGTATCCTGCTAATTATTTGCTACGTGTTACTCAGTTACCTGATGTTGTAGTTTCTTGATAAGAGAAACAATGATTCAGACCTTATGTTTATCCCATAAGGACTTCTGAAAGTTTTAATGAAATTGTAGGCATCGTAAGCCTTGCTAGCATTAAACAAGATGCTTAGGTAGGTATATTAACTCTCTCAGGCTACTAAGGTACCGTTTGGTACACTGTAGCACTGATACACCAAATGGTACCCTTGGGAACTGGAAAGAGCCATTTCAAAATGATTTTATTAGAGCTATCTCTCAACTTTTCCATGAAAACAAGTATGAATAAATAAAATCCATTGGTTTTATACTCTGTAACTTCAACTTTCTGTGATACGTGCTGATAAACAACAAAACTGAATTCTTTACCTTTATCTTTCTTCTTATTACTGGAATTGGTACTTATAAGTAATGGGATGACTGAATAAAAAGTGGATGAATAACACAAATGAGGAATGCAGGAGGTCTGGATAATCTACAAACTAAACAATGATCCTCCAGATAACTGGGAATTGACAACTTTTTCAAAAAATATTTTTTTAAAAAAAGGACATACAATGTGATTGAAACTTTTGTTCTCATCATTTTAGGATTCTAGATGAAATCATCCTTTTTTTTCTCTACAGCATCTGCTTCTATTGTCATGATGTACTAACTCTCTTTCTGGGTCTTTGTTGTTTTTGTTGATTGGTAGCAATAAAGGCAGCTGTGCTTATTCAGAACTGGTACCGAGGTTATAAGTCTCGGTTAGAATTAAGAAGGCGCCAGGCCATGAACATCTTTGAGTCTATTGAATATGCGGATGAACAAGATCAACTGCAGGTCTGTACTTTTATCTAGTTCATTTGTTCTCTTCCTTTGAAAATGTTTACGCACCACCTATCTTCTAAAAAAAACAATCAGTTAATAAACACATATTTATTAGGCTCCTAATATGTGCCAGACCCTGTGTGCTAGACACTAAAGAAGAAGGGAACATGAAATAAATATAGGTCAGAAAAAAAATTCATTTTAAACTCAAATGAACTCCCTTTAATACTTTTGGCAGATGGCTAAATAATTTATATTCAGGCTGAACCTCAGCTATTAAGGGGCAACTCTAATAGTAAACATTAAACCACATTTTCCTGTAACTATCTCAGAATCAATCAAAGAATGAAGTAAGTGGATGATTTAGGAGGAAGACAGTACTTCTTGGAGTTCACAGAATCATGGAATGGTAGAGTTGAGTGGATTATCCATATTAAAACTCTTTTTTTTTGAATGAGAAAACTAAGCTCAAAGAGTTGCAGTGACTTAGTTAATGTTGCATAGTTAGTATCAGAGTTGGTCCTAGAACTCAGATCTTATTCTGAGACTCTATTGTCATTGTTATATCAAACATTATTATACCAAAAAGATGGTCAGAAATCAAAATCACTTTTCAAGACTGGCTTTCTCACAAATTGGGATTTAGAGGGGAGTTAATACATGCCCATAATACATGCTTAATCAATCCTTGTTTAATTTCTGATTTGTATAGATTGTCATACGTGACTCCTCCTTGTTATTCACCCCTCCTACCACATCCAACCAGTTACTAAGTCGTGGTGATTTTACCTCGACAACATTTTTCACATCTGTGCTTTTCACATACAGCCACCATTTTAATTTTGACCCCTATTACTTTTTGCCCAAAATATTGCAACCTATTACTAACTGGTCTCTCTTCTTCTAGTCTCTCCCCTGCCTACTCTCTCCTTACACAGGTGCCAGATTAAAATTTCTTGGAATAAATCTGACCAATCTGACTAAAAATTCAGTGGTTCCCAATTGTCTTTAGGATCAGATACAAAATCCTCAGCCTAGTATTTAAAGCCTTCTCAATATGGTTGTCAAGTCCCTTTCTAGTTTTCTTTCATATTTATTCCCTTTTGCACACCCTCCATTCCAGTCAAACTAGCCACCTAGGTGCTCCGCTATATCTGACAGCCTCCATTTATGTTACTGAATAAGCTGCTTCCCCTGGTCCAGCATGCACTGTTTCCTCACCTCTGCCTGGTTTCCTGCAAAACACAGCTCACCTGACACCTATTACGTGAAGCCTTTCCTGACCTTCCCAGTTGTCAGTGACAAAAAATAGTACTAACTTCTTCAATTCAACAAGTATTTATTAAATATCTACTCTGTGCAACAACACTGTACTAGGCATGAGGTATTCAAAGATAAAAATGGAAATAGTTCCCTCAAAGAGTTTACTTTCTCTCCTAGCTCCACGTTATTTTTTTTATTGTTGATGTTTTCTTATGTTTGCTCATTTTCCATCCTTACTTCATGAGTTGAGATTTTGTTTTGGGACCAGGCTCTGTGTATTTCTGGAAGGAATGATAGGGTCTTGTTCGTTATTGATTTTTATTATCTGGGTGCTGAATAATGGGGTGCTGTATTTTTCAAGCACTAACTTGTCAAAGTGGTCTGATCCAAGATGTAATCTGATGGTTGCTCTTTAGGGTGAAACCTTGCTTTGACCTCAGAGTGACCCAGCTAAAGGACTCAGGAATCCTTGGCTAGACCAAGTCCCAGATCCAATTTCCTTGCCTCTCAGTATCTACCTTTGGTTCTATGCTTTCTGGATTGCTCCTGGTCCCCAAACAGAAACACCTGTAAAAGCTATGTATTTTGTGACTTGATTGACATTTTTTCTTTTTTTTTCAGCTAGCCAACTTTTTCTCCTTCATGCTGGAAAACTATACAACAAATAACAAGGACAGTTCAGGTAGGAAGATAAGTTGAAAATAAAATTAAGAAATGCCTTTGAAAGATATATTGTATGGTGAGGCAAAATAAAGGTCTAAGAAGAATAACCAGGAGGCTACAATGAAAAGTTACAATTATTTTTGAACCCTTAGATAACTCTATTACTACTACTACTACTACTACTACTATTACTACCACCACTCTTACAACACTTTAAGTTTTGCAAAGTGCCTTATGTATGTTATCTCATTTGATTCTCACAACAATCCTGGGAGATAGACACTATTACTAACCCCATTTTAGAGATGAAAAAACCAAAACAGACACAGGTTAAGTGACTTGCCTAGGGTCAGGATCACACAGCAAATGTCTGTGGTGAGATTTGAACTCAGGCCTTCTGAGCCAGATCCAGCTCTCTTTCTACCATATCACCTAGCTGCCTATGGAGAGGAAATTAGAGGAAACCAAGTTATTATTATAGATTTATTAGGAACACTTATTATTTTAAAAATTCTGCAATATAGAAATGGTAAGAAAGTAAAGAGATGATACAAACTGTGCTTATATGACAAGTAAGCAATGCATTTAATGAAAAAATAATCAGTCTAATTGGTTAGTTTTTGTGCTATAGATCCAACACTGAATTTTACTTTTCAAAAGATTATTATAGGGGCAGATAGATGGCGCAGTAGATAGAGCACCAGCCTTGGATTCAGGGAGACCTGAGTTCAAATCTGGCCTCAGATACATAACACTTACTAGCTGTGTGACCCTGGGCAAGTCACTTAACCCCATTGCCGAGACAAAAAAAAAGATTATTATAATGTTATAATAATAACAGTTTACCTTTCACACAGCAATTTAAGGTTTACAAAATAGTTCCCCTATAACTGTCTAGTGAGTTAACTAGTGTAAGCAACATTATTCCTGTTTTAAATGTGAGAGAGCTTAAATGGCTTTTTAAATGGCTTAAATGTCCAAGGTTGCATAATTTTTTTTAGCATGCTGGCCCACACCGGTAGTGAATACTAGAGCCAGAATACAAATCCAAATTTCTTCTGACTCTAAGCTCTTTCCACTCTACCACCGTGGCTCTCCTATACTATTTCACCTCCTACAGACGATAGTGCTATGGTGTGACTTTTTGAGGACCAACTGCTGATGATGTTGATGACATTGATGGCAGCAAGTGATTGACTGGTAAAGAAGGCAGCAGCTACCATGTCATAAAATGTCAGGGCCATAAGCAGCTGACCAACAAACAGTTACAATCCAGAAGTCACAATATCTTGAAATAGTGCATACAGAGGATATGGAGAAATGGTCTATTTCAGGTGAATGTTATTAAACATGGTTGTTCACATTTTTGTTCCTCTCTTTTTCCTATGGGGATTATTAATAATAAAAATGGCTACCATTTATATAGCATGTTAAGGTTTATAGGTTTATGTGATCTCATTTGATCATCATAACAATCCCTGAGATAGATGCTATTATAGTCCCTATTTAATAATGATGATGATGATTACAGTTAGTAGAAATACTACCCTATTTGATTTGCACAATAACCCTGGGAGGTGAGTGCTATGATTAGCTCCATTTTACAGATGAGGAAACTGAGGAAGAGAGAGGTTAAGTGACTTGCCCAGGGTCATACAGCTAGTGTGTGAGGTTGGATTTGAATGCAAGTCTTCCTGACTGCAGGTCCACTGCTCTTTCTATTAAAAAACCACATAGCTGACATTTTACATGTAACCCAGGTTTCTAGACTGGAACATTTTGCATGAAACTTTGCTAATTGATGGAGAAAATGATGATGTGACCATGTATGACAACTTGAGGCGCAGTGTTGGTGCAAAAGATTTGGAGAGGAGAGGCTTTCTTCATGCCTTCTTTCAGAGAGGCTTACAGATCCTCTATTACATGTCAGCCAATCCCCTAAATCTTTCTTTTTTCTCTAAAAGAAATCTGGAACCACATGTGGATCTTTCAAAGAAGAAATGAATGATTCTTCTCTCCAAAGCTTTTATAACAATACCACGCCTCCCTCAGCCATGCAGGGTTACTTTTACCATTCTCTCTACCAATTAGAAGAGTTTTAGGTAAAATACTCCAGGCTGCAAAAAAAGGTTTATATGATTTCAGTTGATCACAACAGGATAAATACTGATCAGGAAGTTGAGATTAAAAGAGGTTAAATGACTTGCCCTGGGTCAATACAGATTATAAATGTCTGGAAAACTCATTCTATTGGAATAGGATTTTTGTAAAATTCAATTTTATAAATATATTCAAAGGCCAACACTATATCCACTACAGCACCCAATCTTCATTATTCTCTAAGAATATGAACAAATGAGAATCTAAATGCATTTTCTAGGAGGCAGTTTCCGGGCATAAAAAGCTCATTACTTTTTTATCTGACTTCCTGTTATTTACTCCATTCAGAATGCCTATGGTATTTTATGATATCTTTATAAGCTAGCTAAAAGCCCTACCAAGACTGGTGGGAAGAGTAATGTTTTAATGATAATGATTTGAAACCTCCTTGCAACTTTCTCAAATGGACTAAAGTGTTTAATGATCCATGGAAGGCTTCTCAATAGCGAATATTCCTGAAACCAAATTTGATGGAGAGAGAAGGAAAAAAAAAGTTTTTCTCATTCAATTTGTTGTAGATCTTTGCAATCAATTTCTCTTCCTGATCATCAGTAAAGTGACTTCTAAAAGGAAATCTAATAATGGAGAAATGTGTCTATATTATCTCTATCAATTGCCCATTAATTTCTTGTGGCCTAGTCAGTTGATAATTCATAATCTTTTAATTCCTACTGTCAAGTATATAGAATTAAATTGAAAATTTCTCAATCACCCAAACCATGTTTAAAAATACCAATGATCTTTTGAGAAAAACTTAATATCATCTATCACATCTTAGAATTTAGGTAATATCTGACTCCTTAGAGTTTCTAGACAGTTAGTTACACAATAATTAAGATTTTCTTCTTTTTCACATTATTATTTGTCAGATACTTCCATTTTTCAGAATTGAAATAAGGACTGAAGACCATGCTTTCTACATAAAGATTCTGGCCAAATTTAGGACCATTTCTATGTTTTCCCATTGATGCCAATATAAATTTTCCCTTTGAGTTGGTAACTTCTATGATGAAATTAGACTTTATGTTCATTGTTTTCTATTCTTTTAAAAATTAAATGTTTCATTGATGTGTTTATTTTTTTTTTGAACTTTTTTGCTGAGGTGATTGGACTAAGTGACTTGCCCAGGGTCATGCAGCTATGTAAGTGTCTGAGGCTAGATTTGAACTCAGGTCCTCCTGACTCCAAGGCCAGAGCCCTATTCACTGTGCCACCTAGCTGCCCCTATTTAATTTTTTATGCATTAATCACTAACCAATAACACCACTCTACTACCTTCTTTTATAAAAGCAACAATAAAATAATATCTAATGCAGCCACCATAATTGACAGAATGTATAAGGTTTTTCTCCTGTTGAGTGACCACCTCCCAATAAAGAACAAGGAGATGTGTTCCAACATTAGTCATCTAGAGCAAATATTGGTCATTGTATTTTATCTCTGCTATCCTTTCACTTCACTTGCATTCATATTACTGTAATCACTGTATAGTGACTTTCATGAAAATCTAGAGAAGGGAGGATATTTTGGAGGTCTTGAATTATTTTTTCCTTTGGTTATTTACTGGCTTTACATGGAAAGTATGTAAAGTATATAAACTTGATTAACAACACTGCCTAATTAAAAGTATATTTTCTTCTCAAAATTGTTTTCTCTTTATTACTAGCTATTATGGGGCTATCTAGGTGGATTAAATTGTTGGGTGGGCCAGAGTTTTGGTTGAAGTCAATATATTAGATTTTGTGTTTTTATAGTTTAATTAATATCCTAATGGAAAAACAGTGTCCAAAGGTCAAAGTTTGCACTTAGTATCTCAGCCAAGCATTTCTTAAATGTATGCCTTTAGTCACAAGCAAGGGAGTGTGGATTGCTCTCCTGGAAAATATTGGAGCTGAGCTAATTAGTATCTATCAGATCCTTATGTCAAGGAGTTTAGTACTAGGCTCTAAGTGTTCATCTCTACCCCAACTTCTGCCTTTATTCTAAGGGATATCAACGTATAGGTTGTTTTCTCAGGCACCCTAATCTGTCCTCCCCAGTTCCTCAATTGTCTCAATTCCCATTCCCCCTTAACATCTCAGAAGGATCCTTAATTCCCACATCACCCACATTACTTCCATGATCAAGAATTGTGATATTCCCTTCTCCAACCATGACCTCTTATCATTCTCTGTGCCTCATTCCTCCTAAATCTATCCTCCATCCTTACTGGGACCTTTAGTCTCTCTATCTCCCATACTTTCCCAGGCTTCACTTTCCTATCTTCCCAATCTTGACCCTATCTCTAGCCAATTCAACATTACACTATCCTCTAGTCTTTCTTGTATCTCTTGCTCTTGCCCTATCATTGCTTTATTTTGTCAATCCTCAACCCTGGATAATTCTCACCAACCACCTCCTCTTCCTCTCGTTTGATTTAAATGCACTAGAGGTAATCGTACAACCTGTAGATATGTTATACTGCAGGTTTAAGTTACCTAGTATTAGCTATGTCTCACTGCAAGCAAGGTGACCTTTTATTCCTTCTCTAATTGACTATCACTGTCTCCACAGTAACTATTCTGAAGCTTTAGCTCTCCTTAGGCCTCCTATACCATTCACTTTCCTCAACTTTTTATGACCTTATCTCTGACTTTACTAAGAAAATAGAGGCCACTTCCTTAGCGCTCCCTTTTCTCCCATTATCTACATCTCAAAACTCCTCAATGTCATTTCCTATTCCCTCCTCCTTTAACCTAGTTTCTGATGAAAGATCTCTTCATCAAGGTTAACCACTCCACTAACACCCTTGATCCCATCTTCTCTTGTCTTCTGCAGATTGCTCTCACAATTATTTCCCCCCTCTTCTCTCTTTTTCTCTCTTCCTTTCTAATAGGCAATCTCTCCCTAACTCCTTCCCTAGCGCTTACAAATATGCCCAGGTTTTCCTATCCTAAAAAAAATCCCCTACTTGCTCCTACCATCCCCTATGCTTTCAAGCTATAGATTTCTCTTCCAAGGCCAAACTCCTAGGAAAATTTATCTGTCTCTACTTTCTCTCTTCACCTCTTTCAATCTGGCTTAAACCTCATCACTCAGCTGAAAGCACTCTCTTCAAAGAAATCAATGATCTCTTGACTGGTGAATCCGATGGTCTTATTTCAATCCTTATTCGTGTCACTTATGTGACCCAGAAGTCTAGCAAATATAGTCTTTATACTTGAACAGAGAGAGTCAAAACAGAGGGGAAAAAAAGTATAGACCAACATACCTAATGAACATTGATGCAAAACATTTAAATAAAATATTAGCAAAGAGACTATAGTAACATATCACAAAGATTACACACTATGCCTAGATAAGATTTATTCCAGGAATGCAGAGTTGGTTAAATATGTAAGAAAAGCTATGAACATAAATGGCCATATCAATAACAGCTACAAAATGATATGATTATATTAATATATGCAGAAAAAGTTTTTGACAAAATGCAAAACTCATTTATGCTGCAACACTAGAAAAATAGAAATTAATGAAGCTTGCCTTAAAATGATAAACATTATATATCTAAAACCCAGAGTCAACATTGTATGTAATGGAAATAAGCCAGAGTCCTTTCCAGTAATACCAGGAATGGAGAAAAGATGTTCATTGTCACCATTACTATTTGATATAGAGTTCTAGAAATGTTAACTCTAACAATAAGATAAGAAAAAAATTGAAGGAATAAGTACAGGCAAAAAAGAAACAAAATTATCACTTTGTGCAGATTATGTGATGCTTAGAGAACTTTAGAGAGTCAACTAATGATTTAATTGAAACACTAATATCAATAAAGTTGTAGAATATAAAATAATTCCAGACAAATCAGCATTTGTGTTTATTACCAACAAAATCCAACAGGAAGTGACAGAAAGAGAAATTCCATTTAAAATAACTACAAAATGCAAAAAGCATGTGAATCTATCTACCAAGATATGCACAGAAATGATATAAATACAAAAACAAAACATTTTATGAAAATAAAGACATATCCAATATAACAAATATGACCATATTATTTAAACTATTTTACCTAATCAATGCCATACCAATCAAACTACCAAAGGTATATTTTATAGAGCTAGGCAAATAATAACAAAATTCCTCAGGAGGAAAAGAAAGGCCAAGAATATAAAGGTAAATAATGAACAAATTAGGAGAAAAAGGAAACTAGCCATGCCAGAGGTCAAACTATGCTCCACAGCAGTAGTAATCAAAATTATTTAGTACTTATTAAAAAATAAAGAGGTTGATCCATGGAACAGATAGATATACAACATACTGAAGCAACAAACATGGTAGCATAGTGTTTGATGAGCCCAAAGTCCCCAAACTAATGGGATAAAGACTCACTATTTGAAAAAAAAAAACTTCTGGGAAAACTTGGCAGCATTCTGACAGAAATTAGTATTAGACTAACACTTCATGCCATACACCAAGATGAACTTCAAATGTATAATGCAGTATATATCAAATGTTATACTGTAAACAAATTAGAGGAAGAAGGAAGAGACTACCTTTCAGATCTATGGATAATAAAAGAGTTCATAACCAAACGAGAGAAAGAGAGAATCAGAGAAGATAAAAGGGAAAAACTGGATTTATAAAATTAAAAAGTTTTGTTCACAAATAAATTCAAAGCAGCTAAAATTATAAATGAAACTGTCAAATGGGGATAATCAGTTGCCAAATCTTTCTGTTTGGCAAACCCCTCCAGTGTCTTTGCCAAGAGAGCCCCAAATGGGATCACTAAGATTCATACATGACTGAATAACAGTGACTTCCTGTTGCTTCTATGATAAAATACAAACTCTTCTTTTTAACTTTTAAAGCCCTTCAGAATTTGGTTCCAACCCATCTCATAACTTCATTGGGTATTACTCTCTCCTACATTCTGCAATCCAGTCCAACTGACTTTGTTCCTCATACATACAACTATGGCTTCCATCTCTGTGCCTTTTCTCTGTCCCCTATCTGTGCCTGGAATGCATTCCTTCTTTACATCTGCGTCATAGATTCTCTATCTCTTTTTTTTTTAAGACAAGTGAGGTTAAGTGACTTGCCCAGGGTCGCACAGGTAGTAAGTGTCAAGTGTTTGGTCTGAGGCCACATTTGAACTCAGGTCCTCTTGACTTTAGGGCTGGTGCTCTATCCACTGCACCACCTAGCTGCCCCTCTCTCTTTCTTTAAGATGTACCTCAGGTGCCATCTGCTATGTGAAGACTTTCCTGATCTTCCCAACTGCTAGTACCTTTCCTCCCAAATTAATTTGTATTTATTTAACTACTTTGTATTTCTTAACTTGATATTTATGCTGCATAGAATTTAAATGTACTTGTTATCTCATTAAAATATAAGGTCACTGTGAGTAGAGATTATTTCATTCTTTGTCTCCAGCACTCAGCTCCATGTCTAGAACATAGTTGGCACTTAATACTTGTTGCTTGGATTTGACCATGGTCATTTAGTTAATTCAGAAATATCACCATGATTTTTCTATATGAGAACAGTGCTGTGTTTCAACAGTTACTTTTTTTCCCTTCTAAACTATTTTTCCCTTTTCAGAAAGTCTGTCTCAGCTTTTTGTCAATACAACAAAGAGAAAATTGGAGCCAGAAACTTTTATACGTAATATAAATGTACCAGATACTTATTATGGTCCTCGGCTAAAATTCCCTCTCACTTTTTCTGATGTCATCCTCCTTATTGATGCTTTCAAGGAAAACCAGGCAAGTAGAGATGTTGGAGCTATTCAAACACATGTATGTCACCTGCATTTCGACAATGTTGAACATGTTTTTAGGAATGTTATTTTCCTCAAACCAACGCTGTTAAGACAATGACAATGATGAAATAGCTTACCTCTATTTTACATTTTATAAAACACTCTTCCAAACAACTGGACATTTCAAACTCATGAAGGTAAAGTTGTAAAAGTATTGCTACCCTTGTTTTGCAGTTGAGCAAAAGAAAGGTTAAATGACTTACTTAGTCAGTAATTGGGAAAGTGGGTATTCAAACCCAGATCTCCTAACTTTTGTTTCATTTTCTGCTTGCATCACACTTGCTCTCTAAAAGACCAGTTTGAGCTTCTGAGACATGCTGGCCCACTGGTAGGCAGCTCCTATGGTGTTCAGACATGACAGCCATGCTAGTTTGGAAGATTAGTTTCTGGCTCACTCTCTAGGCATGTAAAATAACAGTAGTCCAGGTTTAGACAGGATTTTATAGATTATCTGGAAATATCAACCTTGAAAGGAAGCCTGGTCTTCTAACTTGCCTTCCCATCTAACTCGCTAATCAAATTAATATTCCCTTTTTAATATGCATTCTTTTGTCCCAACCTGTGATCTCATTGGCATAGGGAACTCTTAAATGAGTTAAGCAGATAACTATGAACCTTTACACATCAGTAAATCCGCAATGAACAGTTTTAGCATGAGTTTGGGGGTGGGGAAGGGGTATAGTACTGAGAAGTTCTTGCCTAAGGTCACCCAGTGAATCAGGTGAGCAGTGAGCAGAGTAAGGTCTCCATCCATTGTGCCATGTTTCTAATACATATTTTCCTAGTTTATAGGTTCAAATTTATCTAACTTAGTGTTTCCCCAGAAGTTATTTATAGTTGAATACCATGTAGTTGTTTGCTCCCATTTTTGTCTTTTAATAGTTGATTTGGGAGGGGGGGCTTGGTTTAAATAGTTGCAGTAAGATTTAACTAAGGATTTTTGTTCTAGTTTGAGCTTGTCCTACTTTTTCTTTGGTACATTTTTGTAAGTCTTCTATGGTAACCTCAAGCTATATCTAAAGCAGCTTCCTATAATGTTAGTGCTGATCTGCAGAGAGATCAAATGATCTTCAAAGAATCAATTCCTAATGTATTCATGGGAACATGTACTCTTAGAATTGGAAGGGATCTCAGGGGCCATTTAGAATAGCCTCTGCCTGAATCATGAATCCTTTCTATGACAACTCTTATAAACAGTCATCCGCTTCCATTTGAACACTTTCAGTGACAGAAAACTTAGTACCTTGTAAAAGCAACACGTATCATTGATGGGCAGCCCCAATTATTTGAAAGTTTTTCTTTATGTTTCCTCACTGTGTATTCTAGTCATTATTCCTGGTTCTGCCTCCTTGGCCCAAACTGATGGAGTTTAATCTAACTTTTTAAATGGTAGGACTTCAGACACTCCAAGATAAAAAAAAAAAAATCATGACTCCTCTAAGTCTTTTTTTCGAGGTAAAATATCCTAAACATCCCTGGTTTCTTCCTATGCATTAATTTTATTTCTTAAACTCTTCTTCTCCTCCTTTTCTCTCAATTGCTTTCTTTTTTCATTATTTTGCATTTACCTATAGCACATTTTCTATAGGCAGGACACATTTGTATTCAGGAGAATGAAGGAATGTGTAATTATGTGATGAAAATAAGGTTGCGGTTCATGGTATTTTATTTGACCTTCTTGAAGGAATTTTGTATTCTGTTGTACCTATTGAATTCTTGCACTTTTATACTACAGTAATGTCTATAATAGTTTTTTAAACAAGAGGAGCTAGGTGGCGAAGTAGGTAGAGTTCTGGGCCAGGAGTCAGGAAGACCTGAGTTCAAATGTAAGCCTCAGACACTTACTAGCTGTGTGACCCTGGACAAATCATTTAACATCTATTTACTTCAGTTTCCTCAACTCTAAGTTTGGAACAGTAATAACATCTACCTTCCAGGGTTGTCATGAGGACCAAATAAGATAATAATTATAAGAGTACTTAGCACAGCACCTGGCACACAGTAAGCACTACATGAATGTTAGTTGTCATCATTGTTATTTTTATTATTATTACTAGCTGCATGACCTCAGGCAATCATTTAACCTCTATTCACCTCAGTTTTCTCATTTGTAAAGTGAAGATAATAATGGCACCTGCTGCTCAGGCTCTTTATGAAGTTCAAAGGAAGTTATATTTATAAAGTGCTTAGCACAGTGCCTATATAGCATATACAAGGTGCTATATAAATGCCATCTGTTATCATTATTATTATTTTAAAATGTAGTTACACTGAAGACTTGCTCCTTTTCTTTTCATATTTACTGATCAGAGACCTCCAAAGAAAAAACAAATCTCTTCCCCTTCCAACCCCCTTAGTTTGTACCCCTTTAATGTCCTCGTTTCACTAGATTGCTGTTACTAAGTATTTTCTCTACAAAATCATTTCAATCCATTCAACCCACAAGGCTTTGAGCAGAGTTTTGGTGTCATCTTCCACAGCTTGAGCAAGAATACTTGTATCTTATCTGTAAATGTTTGAGATTGCTCATTTCCTTTGTCATACACATTTCCTTTTTGTCTGAACTCCTTGAGAAGAATGTTCTGTCTGCAAGTTATGGGCCATCTTGATATTAAATTTAATTTACTTGGGAATCAAGGCAGGGCTGTTGGAGGCCTTCATCGTGCTCTCCGCATACAAGACAATGTTGCAACACAAGAAATGTCCCAAGTTGCGTTCTTGAGACAGGTGACATAGCTCTGCCATGTATACAATGGGTGCCTTCACTTGGATGTTGATTTGGTTTGTGAAATTTAAGTAGAGTCATATACTAATAGAAACCTAGAGTTGGTAGGGACCCATACCTTACTAGAAAAATACATCCCTTTTCCCATGTCCCATGCAATCTCTGACTGGTGGCAGATGGTGCTGAAATGATTATTATTAGCTGTGTGACCTCAGAAAAGTCACTTAACCTCCATTTTTTTTCTTTTTCTCAGTTTCCTCTTTTGTAAAATGACACCTACCTCCCTGGGTCTTTGTGAGGATCAAAGGAAGTTATAACACTGAAGTTCATCCAATATCTTAAGGGAAATGGAGGTATAGAGAAAACTTATTAGTATATTAGGGCAGCTAGGTGGTGAGTGCTTGACCTGAAGTCAGGAAGACCTGAGTTCAAATCTGACCTCAGACACTTACTAGCTGTGTGACCTTGGGCAAGTAACTTAACTGTTTACCTCAGTTCCTCTAAAATGAGCTGGAGAAGGCAATGGCAAACCACTCTAGTATCTTTGCCAGGAAAACCCCAAATAGAGTCACGAAGAATCATACATGACTGAAAATGACTAAACAAGAAGAAGAAAATTACTGTATATATTTAGGTCCCACAGATAGTATGGAACATAGGCGGGGGACGTAGACCTGTGATTCCATCAGCATGTGGAACTCCCAGGGGAGGAAAACCTCCTATTCCATTGCAAGAGGACACCTCAGCAATATTAAGTCTTGGAGAGTTTTCTAAAGCAGTGCGAGGGTTAAACAACTTTCCAAGGTCTATACAATATACATTTTGGATCAGAGGCAGGATTCAAGCTGTAGTTGAGCTTTCTGGCTCTGGGGCTAACTCTTTGTTCTTTTAGCCACCTATTTCTATTTAGGATTCCGTATTTTGTTTGCTTAAAGACAGAAATAAAGTTACACTACATAAGTCTCCAGGGAAGCTATCTGATGGATTGTAAATGTACCTTAAATCACCCATTCCAAGCACAGAGGCATCTCAGGGTTCAATGTAGCATATAAGGGTAGGATGTTTTGTTTTGTTTTGTTTATATACTTCAGAATATAGTTGCTTTGCCTCTGGCAGTTCAGCTTTATTTAACAGCATGCCATCTTTACAATTAGCATAGGTGTCCAGTGTCAGTAAACAGGCAAGGTATAAGCAGATATTCAACACAACTATGCTTTAGGGATAGAGATCAGACCTGTGATTGCATTGGTATAGGGAACTTCCAGGTGAGGAAAATCCCTCTACCAATATAGGTGAGCACCTTCTCTGCAACTATAGTGTTGGGAGAGAGTTCAGATTTATCCTCTGACACTATCTGTGTGACCCTGAGCAAGTCACTTCACTTCTGCCTCAGTTTACATATCTGTAAAATGGAGATAATAATAGCCCTGCTTCCCTGGGTTGTTCTGAAGATGAAATGAGATAATAATTGTAAAGCACTTAGCACATTGCCTGGCACACAGTAAGCACTATATAAAAGTTAATTGTTATTTTTATTGCCATAGCAGTGATGTCAAACTCAAATAGAAACAGGGGACACTAAACTGTACTGGATTCCATATTGACTTAGTAATGTAACACTATGTTTTATTATATATTTTATTTATTTACTTTTATATTTTTTAAATTTTCTTAAATATTTTCCAATGCTATTTTAATCTGGTTTTGTCCTCCCTCAGGGGTGCTGTGGGATGCATGTGGTGGGGTAGGCTGAGGCATACCTCTGTTTAGAACATTAAAGGATTAAATGGACACAGAGCCAGTGTGTATCAGAGACAGGACTTGGAACTAGCTCTTCCTGGCTTCCAGGCCACCTCTCTATCAGCAAAAACCATTGTTTCGTCATATAGCCATGGGCACCCCCTCACACTCAAACCTCAGTCTCCTCAGCACTCTGCTTTCCTTTTTGATTCTCCCATTACCTAAACCCCACTTTTTATAAAATTTCTTATGGATAAATGATAAAGTGGATTATCTGCCTGAAAATAATCTGAGGGATGACTAGGAAGTCTAGAAACAGACTTGAGTGACCCACATCTACGTAATATGCCTATGGGTTTCAATACAACGATGTCCTTGATTTTTTCTTTACAGATACTGCATGCCCGTTATGTGCTACAGTTATTACAAGAAGTCAAGAAGGTCTTGCAACAGTTGCCAAATATCGTTCCAGTAACATCCACCCTATCCAAGGACTTAACAATCTGTGGTAAGGTCAAACTCTGAGCAGTCTCGTAGAAACCATTGATTTTGTGCAATTTTAAAAGGTGAAAGTTGCCCTATGTTATGAGGGAAAAAAGTAATAATATTGAATTATCTGTGAGGATAATTCTAATTTCCATTCTCTGCCCTGCCCTCCCCCCGCCCCAGTTGTATGTAGGCAATAAGCATGTGGCAGGTAAGGGATTTTCAGTATTTTCTCAAGGCAAACAATTTGCTAATATGGAAGACCATTTACATACTTTCTTCTTTCCTTCCTCTTAGCCCCATCAGTCCACTCTGTCTTTCCTCAGAATTCATCTTTCTAGTATTTGTTATTTCCCATTCAGCTTTACTTCTTGGAACTGGGCTCCATTGTGCTCCCAGGAACCTCATCTTCAGGAAATTCACATCCTTCAAGATTGCATCAGGCTTGGGACTGACACCTTATGCACTCAGTAACTTTTGCTTCTGATGGAAGGGTTGGAGGGTAGAGCAAGGAACTCCCCCCCAAACTCCACTTAAAGAGGATTCCCAGACCAACCACCTCTTCCTTTTCCACCTTCATTTCCCAATTCCTCCTTCCGACTAGACTCCAGTGTTCCCCGATCCCCTCCATCCCCACTCTTTTCAGATTCCTTTTGTGTATTGTTTTCCCCGTTTTGAGAGCAGCTACTGCCTTTCTTTTTCAGATTTGTAACCCCAGACCTTGGCACAGATCCTGGCACAAATCAGGTGCTTAATAAATGTCTGTTTATTGACTGAATGGACTTCTTACATTGTTTATGTGGTTGAAGGAAGATAAAAAAGATGGTTTTAGACATTAAACCGTTCTCAGGCTTTGATTGTTGCTGTAGCACTTCCCAGTTGGTCTTTAGCTTTTAGAAAGAGCAGTGACATTTTAGAAATCTGCTCCTTCTGGTGCTAAATAATAAGATTTGAGATTTTGCTGCAGTGTAGGCAATCCTGGCAGGATGTTGCTTTCAGATACAGTACACATCATAGTTCATTACAACTGGTGCAAAGCATGCCTGCAACTGTCATGGAATGACTTGTGTGGAATAGCAATCCCAGTAATTGTGAGCCTTCAAGTCACAAAAGAATGATGGTTATTCTTGATATCAGGCTTCTTCCTTCCTTCCTTCCTTCCTTCCTTCCTTCCTTCCTTCCTTCCTTCCTTCCTTCCTTCCTTCCTTCCTTCCTTCCTTCCTTCCTTCCTTCCTTCCTTCCTTCCTTCCTTCCTTCCTTCCTTCCTTTCTCTTTATTTCTCTCTCTTTTTCTTTCTCTCTGTCTTTCTTAAAAAAAAAAACAATAACAAAAAAACAACCCAAAACATTTCTCTTACTCTGGCAGGTGGAATAAGATTTGACAATCTAATTAGATCATTTCCATTTCTAGTATCTGTTATTGGCCCCAGGGTCTTAATTTAACAACTTGTACTCTGAGATGTATGAGATGGGAAATGGGTGGCTCAGGTGTTCGATGAACAGGGGTGAGAAGTTCATTCACTACCTTGATTGGATTGTTATCTCATAGTTCATCATTATCACCAGGGCTGTTGACTTCTACAGCCAAATACGCTGTATTTCCATGACAATAGAGCAGAGATTTAGTTCATGTGATATTCTGATCTCTCTTAGGGGCCAAGTGCACTAGGGCAAATGTAAACTCTCCTTTATTCTAGTTTGAGACAAGGACCAAGAAAACAGATAAGAACGTCTGCAAGGTCAGAAGGTTTCTTTTAATTGTCTAAGCTGAATCTGTAGCTACTTCTCTGTTGTTTTGCTCCTTGGGTGAATCAATCTGGGTAGGAGTGAATTAGCTGGAAGATGTTAGAGGACTATACATAACAATAACAACAACAACAACAATAATAACAATTCATATGTTAAAATTTGCAAAGTGCTCAGATTCTCTCGATTCCAAGTCTAGTACCATATCTACTAGTCTCATCCCTTCACTTTCCAAATGAGATTGTTAGTTATGGCAGGATTTGACTCAAACTCCAAAGCCATTGTACTATATGGCTTCTCATCTGCTCCATTCTTTTCATTTTAGAGGTGAGAAAATTAAGGTCTTTATAGCTAGTTGGTAGCCAAGATAGGATTAGAACCCAGTTCTCCTGATTTCTAGTCTCACATCTCCAAATGCCTTTTTAGACATCTCAAACCAGATGTTGAGTAGGTATCTTAAGCTCAACATCTCCAAAACCAAACTCACTAACTTTTGCTCAAATCCAGGGGTGGGGAACCTGTGGCCTCAAGGCCACATGTGGCCCCCTAGGTCCTTAAGTGTGGCCCTTTGACTGCATCCAAACTTCACAGAACAAAGGATTTGGAAGTTTCTATCTCTCATTCCCCGTGTCCAATGTGTTCCCAATGTGTCTGTTGATTTCACCTTCACAACATCTTTCTAATATACCCCCTTTTATCATCTGATACTGCAGGACCCCATATATTCATGCTTGTACTATAACTATAAACTTGCTGGTGGGTCTGCTTCCTGATGTCTCTTTCCACTTCAATCCACCCTCCATTCAGCTCCCAAAGGGATTTTCCTAAAGCACAGATTGGACCATGTTTCTCAACTACTCAACAAACTGCAGTGGCTCCCCATCCCTTCCATGGTCAAATACAAAGTGTTTGGTGTTCAAAGGTGTTCCTTCTCCCTTTCTCCCACGCACAACTTTTCAGTATTCTTTTATCTTATTCTCCACCAGGTACTCTTCAATCCAGTGACACTGGCCTCTTTACTACTCCATGGACAAGACATTCTACTTATTGGTTCTGGGCATTTTCTCTGGTTGTTCCATTCTCCTTCCTCACTGGCTTCCCTGACTTCCTTCAAGTCTGAATTAAAATCACTTCTTCTACAGGCATCGTTTCTTAACCCTTCTTAATTCTAGTGCTATCGTAATTTAAATATTTTCTGTTTTTCTTGCATATAACATGTTTGCACATTTATTTTGCTTGTGGTTTCCTCCATTAGACTGTGAGCTCCTTGATGTCAGGGACTGTCTTTTGCCTCTTTTTGTATTACCAGAACCTAGACAGTGCCTGGAACATACCAGGCATTTAATAAATGTTAATTGATTGATTACTTGTCTTGAAAATTATTGGCTTCTGTCTTGGCCATGGGAGCAAAGCAGAAAGAAAACTCAACCTCAGCCTCTGAGGCAATGCAAGATTCTGGATAGGCAATTCACATCTGAGCTTCTTGATGTCTAGGGTCAACAAGGGTGAGAAAGCTGGAGATAAAGGTATGATTCTAACAGATGTACTCAAGAAGATCAAAGCATAGCATCTGGGGAGAAGACAAAAGCAGTTATCAGATTGTAGGAGTATCACATAGGGGTAGGCGACTAGACTAGTTGGAGTAACCAAAGGAGAAGACTAGAAGTAGAGAATCAACCAGACAGAAGTCATTTCCAATGCTAATATTCTGCAATTTCATTCAACACAATAATCAATTATTAAGCACACATTAAGCTTAATACATTATACTAGGTGTTGGGGATACAAATTAAAAAATTAAAAAAAAACCTCTCTGTTCTCAAGAAACTGCCCCATCAAAATGAGTTATTCAGATGTTAAAGCCAATGATACTGTATAAAATATAGGATTTTCTGTAGCAGAAAACCAAGGCAATATTTTCAGTGTCTATTTTCATATAGACAAATACCACCTTATTTAGAATTTTATTTGTAGTGAAAATAAATCCTCATAGTCATTCCTATGATATAACCAGTATTTTTTAAAATAAAAATCTTAAGCAAAAACATTTATTTATTATTGATCATGATTATTTATTATTAATTATTTAAATAAAATTGAAATTGAAATTTACAATGCCAGTTTCTTAAAGTCAAAAGCAACTTTTTTAGCATAAAACTTTTCATGGGCTATTGGAAGTGAATAAGGGCCCTTAGAATATTTAATTTTATAGACATAGTGCAAACTGCCCCAGAAGGCGGTTGAGTGTTTACTCAAGGATCACATGACTATGAAGGGGCAGAGCCAAGATATACCCATGTATTTGGATGAAAAAAAAAATCCAGTGTTCTTTTCTTTCCACTTTCAAATATATGTATTCTTTGTTTCTTATGCTTATCAATAGGTCAGATCCAAATCTCTGAATGTCTTTCCTGAAGGGTTTAAGGAAATATATATTTTTGGACACATATTTTAAAGAATAAAAGGGCTTTAGATCTTAATATATTTAAAATATATTTGGAACCAGTTGACCACACCCTGGGCCACCTCCCAACTTACTGACATAGGTTTAGACGCTTCTCTATCTTTACATCCATTTTCTCTTTTGTTTTCATATTTAAACCCTTCCATAGTTTATTTTTTTAAAGAGATGCTTCATTTTCCCTGATAATGGAAAGACTTTCTCAATTCCCTCCCTTTTCAGAGGCAATTATATGACAAAGTGGATAAAGTGGATTCCAGAAGACAGGAGAGTGAATCCTGTCTCAGACATTTACTAGTTGGGCAAATCACTTATCTTTTCTCAAACCTCAGTTTCTTCATCTGTAAGAAAGGGATAATAATAATAGTACTTAGGCGACATATCCTTCTTGTATTGGACACATTACAAATGGGATTCTTTTTCAAGCATAGACTAAATGGTTTCTGACTTTCCTTCCAAATCTGAGGTTCTGTGACTTTTGTGAGGTCCCATCCTTAATCTTAAATTTCTGTCACATTGAGACCCATCTTTACCATCCTCATTCCCCACAGGGATCCATTTCCTCACTTTTTGCCTGGATTATTGGTATAGTCTCCTAAATTGTCTTCCTGTCTTTCACTCCACTGACCAATGAACCTTATGAACCTTCCTTCTCTCCTATTCTTTTTTTTTTCATTGAAATGCTGGGAAGAGTTAAAGGATCCATAAATCCATATGGATCAATGCCTTGTGCCTATGTTAGGAATGGGGCACAGTTGATGAGAGTGAGAGAGAAGAGAGCTCTGGTCTCTTCCTTCTGTGCAGTCACTTTAGGTTCTTCTGGCTTCCAGCTTCAAGGACAGAAGATGGGAAGAAGCCAACTCTATTTCAGGTTAATGAAGAAAAGGTTCTGGGAAGAAGCCAACATGAGAGGATCTAACAGTCTCCATCCTGTTCCTATCCCCAGCTTGCTGTACTAGAGACTTTGGGAACTTTTCTTCTTGTTCCTATCCCCAACTTGCTATACTGGAGACTTCTGAGGAACTTCTCCATGCATGAAATCTGGGTCTCTCTTTCTCTTGGTTGAGCTGAGTTACCTTATTTATTGTCTGGTATATATTCTCCTGTGTATACTTTCTCCAATTTCTGGTTTGCTATTGACTTGGATAAATGGGTTTCTTTGCTAATTGCTATGTATATTCATGTGGAGCTTGTAATTGATGGGAAGGGAATCAAGCTCGGGGCCCTGCTTCCTTCCAATGATGAATAGCTATCAGAAGTTTAGCTTGAATCTGAAAATCACATCCCCTAGACTAATTATATTTAAGGGAGCCAGATAGATATAATTCCAAAACATATAACTTTGGAATTTTCTGTGGAAAATTGTGAAATTGTTAAAAAAAATAAAGTGGTAAATGTAATAGCAGAAATAGTTATGGGTTATGGGGTATGAGGTGATTAATAAATTGAATTGAGTTAAAGAAAAAGGAAAAAGGAAAAGGAAATTCTAAGCAGTGGCAGTGCTTAGCTAAGTCAGCAGTGGTCATAAGTAGTTTCTTGATGACCTTTAGAAGTAAGGGACAAGCATAAGCAAAAAAATATGTAATGGTAATAATAATAATGTCACATTTATAGAATACTTTCCTCATATGATAATAATAACCCAGAGTGGTAGAAGTATTATCTTCATTTACAAACAGATAACTGAGGCTTTGAGAGGTTGAATGATTTATTGGTGGTCACAGTTAGTAAATATCTGAGACAAGATTTTTCCCAGATCACTTGACTCAGGGTTTAGTCATCCATTCCCCTCCTTTATGCTTTATGCTACACTGGCTCTCAGACTCTAAGAAAGCCAGCAACTGGTTTTGGAAACATAGACTATGGAAAGCATCAAATCCAAAGTATATACATAGGAAAATGCTAATAAATTGAAGACAATTAGACAATGACATTTAATAAGTTCATACCTTAAATTGTGTAATACAATGAATGCTGTATCTTTCTTTCTATAGAACGATACTAAATAATGGCTTTAAATTTGCTTTCCAGGTGATATACATGGGAAACTTGATGACCTTTTTTTGATCTTCTACAAGGCAAGTGACAATTTTATTGAATATTTGTATCCTTTTTGGGAGTCAGAATTAGGACAGATTGGAATATCCATTTTGTTAAGAATGTCCAAGAATACAGCTATATCTGAGATATGAGATGTGGATAGAGCTTATGACGAAGTCAGAAAAGGGGTCAACTCCCACCTCATGCATTTACTAGCTGTATGGCCCTGAGCAATTCACTTAACCTCTCTTTCAGTCCCAGGTTATTCATCTGTAAACCTGGGATAGAGCAACTAGGTAGCATAGTGGCCTGGAGTCAGGAAGACTCCTCTTCCTGAGTTCAAATCTGGTTTCAGACACTTACTAGCTGTGTGACTCTGGGCAAGTCACTTAACCCAATTTGTCTCAGTTTCCTCATATGCAAAATGAGCTAGAGAAGGAAATTGTAAACCACTCCAGTATCTTTGCCAGGAAAATGGGATCACAAAGAGTCAGACATGACTGAAACAACTCAACAACAAAAACTGAGCACCTACATTACAGGGTTATTATGAGGTTCAAATGAGATAATATATGTTTGTAAAGAGCTATGTGAATTTTAAGTGCCACATAAATGCTAACTATCATTATTATGTATGAGAACACAACTGTATCTCATAAGCATGTAGAGTACTAAAAAGAGTATTGGATTTGGAATTAGAAGACCTTGGTTATATCTTGGTTGTACTACTTACTGTTGTTTTACCAAGTCACTTAATTTCTTTGGGCTTCACTCTCTTCATCTGTAAAATGAGGGACTAGATGATCAATAGGCTATCTTGCAGTTCTAAATCTTTAGATTTAGGTTTGTATAAGAACCTTGAAAGCATAAACCCTTAGAGGATTTGGGTTATGTCTATTTAATTTATTCTGCATAGCACCTTGTATAACACCCACCCATCAGTAGGCTCTAAATAAAATGCTTTCTAATGATTGTGTTGATATGCATCATTATTATACAAAATTAGCTTTTTAGTCACTATATATATATGTAAATATATATATGTAAATATATATATAAATATATATGTAAATATATATATAAATATATATGTAAATATATATATATATGTGTGTGTATATATATATATATATATAAAATTAGCTTTTTAGTCACTGTATAACTAAGCTCCCAGATGCAAGGAATGTCTTACAATGATTTCCTAAATGTCTTTGCTCCCTGCCATGATCTTTCAGCTCAGCTGTTTTCCTTAAAACAAAACAACAAAATAACTCTAAATGAATGTTCCACGATTATTCCTCCTTCAGTGGCATTCAGTTGTATGGGTCAACACACACTGAGACTGTTCGGAGGGGACAATCTCTGTTTTCTGGTGAGGTGGCAGTTGTACTTGAGTAAGACTGAACATAGATGAAAAATCCAGAGGTGAACATAGGATTAATCACTCTAGTCTTTGCCAAATTCTTTACTTCCTATCTTTCACCTCCTCTCTGGGTTGGTGGCATTGTTCTCCTGACCTTTCCACATGTCTCTGAGGTGCTGCAAGGGGTAGGTTGAATAGCAGAATTGAATGTGTCCACAACTCTGATCTCTTAGGAGGTTAGCATAAAAAGCTAGGTGACTATCATTGATGACCAGTGTGTTTCACTCAGTAATTGTTAAATACTATGGTGTGGATAATAAGGATCATTATGTTTCTAACATCAGTGATGATAAAGTTTTCTTATCTATAAAATTGGAGGATGGGGTCACATAATTGGCAAAATGTGGCTTTCCAAAACCTCTCCAACCTAAAAAAAACAAAAAAAAAATACATGCCAAATAGAGAGTAAATAAAACAGAATCCATAAGATTAAAAGCCAGAGATAGTGTCCAAGGTAAAAATCTCACAGACTATCCCACACTAAATTCTGGGTGCAGCCAGAACAAACAAACTTAAAGGGTTTTGTTTTAGAGAGTGGTTATGGGTGAAAGGAGATATAATCTTTGATTGGGAGTTGGGGAGGGACAGATGGCAGCTGAGATGAAAGGAAGAAAGTCCAAGAATCCAAACAAGACAAACCAATGAGAACAGAAGGAAAAACAGGTAAAAAATTTAAGCCCAAAAGACACTGTGTAAGTATTATATTCTGAAAGAAAAAGAACAAAAAAAAATTCTCTGTGAAAAAAAGAATTCTGAAAATTCCCTAGAAATCATGAAACAACAGCAAGAAACTCTAGAATGGATTAAAAGATAACTAAAACTTTTAAAAGAAGATAATAGGATGGGAATCAAATAAGAAATCGTATCTCTTGATGAAGAATTAAAGAAGCTAAGCAACAAGGTAGAAAAATTACAACATGTACCAAATATGATAGGACATTCCTATCTCTACTACTGGAGAGGGGGGGCGGCTGAGTCTGGCTGATCACTTGAGGTCAGAAGTACTGAGCTGCAATAGGGATAAAGCACTATGTCTGGCACCAATATGATGAGCCCCCAACAATGGGACCTACCAAGAACTTCAAGGAGGGGTGAACTGGGCTATATAAGAAATAGAGCAGTCAGAACATCCTTGCCAATCAGTAGTGGAATTGAGCTCATGAGTGGTCACTTAAGTTCTAGCCTGGGCAAGATAGAAAGACCTGTTCTCAAAAACAAACAAACAAATTAAAAAAACCATGGATGAAAAGGCTTCCCAAAGAAGTAGAAGTTCTGAAAGAGAGTATAACAGATTTGGAGCAAAAATACAGAGATAAATTTTGGCAGAACAAAAGCAAAAGATGGAAGTAACTTTAACAGAACATGAATTTTATATAAGCTAAAGCAAAATATCAAGACAGGATGCATGGAGATAAGAAGTATAAATATCCAATAAAAGAGGATGGTGACACAGGGGTAGCTAGGTGGGGCAATGGACAGAGCTCCGGCCTCAGACACTTGATACTTACTGCATTGCCTTTCATACCCCCCCCCAAAAAAAAGGATGACTCTCATGCCATAGCAAATAAAACTATACAACTACCCAGAATTTTTTTTTATTATAAACAGCAAATTACTGATTATTTCAGTCTACTGACTGCTGGCCATCTCCAGTTGTCCTGATCTATATCTGGCCATTGGACCCAGATGGCTTCAGAGGTGAAAGTGAGGCTGGTTACTTTGCATACCCCTCTCTCACTCAAATCCAGTTCACTTCCCAGTCATGGAATCATCTTCCTGATGTCATGGTCCTCTTCAAGAACAAAGGACAAACAGCAAGCAGCAGGAGCAGCAACTGATTGCTGCTAGAGAAAACCCCCTCTTTGAAATTCCAAATTGTGGTGGTTAACTTTCATAATATTAATGCAAATTAACATTTTTTTCAAGCAATCAGAAAAAATAACTTTAGCTATAATAGAACAGCAATTTGAATAAACTCAGGAGTATTCCAAAAGCCTTAGTAATCACAGGAAAGAATGGAACAGGATATTCCAAAAAACAAAGGAAATGAAATTATAACCCAAATATTACAGAAAAAGGCCCCACCAAAACTGAAGTAAATTAAAATTAAATAGATAAATACACAAGGGGACAGTGACAATAGAATAAGCATAATAACTAAGAAGTGGAATGCAGTAGAGAATAGAAATTTATTGCCCCTGAAGCTCTACCTTTTATGAGAGAACGTGGAAGGAATAAAGAAATAACAATTAAAGATATAGCATAAATGAGGAAACAAAACAAAATAGAACAGAAGGAAATGAAAACTAGTTGGTGGACAAAATAAATGAAAACTTAGAAAAGGACACCACAAATATTCCATAAGCTAAGAGGCTGAGAGAAGGATGATTTTGAACTACATACTTATCTAGTCAGGAAAAGGGAAATAAGGATCAGGAGGGAGCATTGAAATCATTAAATAAATGAATGAATGAATGAATGAATGACTGTGTGAATGAAAGAGATATTGAAAATTTTAAGTAAATTCAAGGAATTTGAGATAAGGCAGGTACAAAAGAGTGGTGGGAGGCATCACAATATACTTAAAATCACCAGGGGAAAATGACAGATTAAAAAAGAAAGGGAATGATAAATCAATAAAAAAGAAAGAAATAGAGAAAAATGCAAACCTAACAATAATTACCTTAAATTTAAATAGATTAAGCAGCACAATAAAACATTACTGTATAAATGGATAAGGAAAGAATATTCATCAATTTTCTGCATGCAAGAAAGACATCTAAAAATAAAGACACATGCAGAATGAAAATTACATGCTGGAATAAAATTTACTATGAACAGGTGATTCCAAAAATATAAAAAGTTGCAATCATTCTATCAGAGCAACAAAAATAAAAATTAACAATATCAAGAGATAAACAAAGAAGTTGCATTATATTTAAAGGTATTATAACAATTAAACAGCATCAACTCTCAAAGTGTATGTGCCAAATGGTATATCATCTTTAAAGAAATGTTGACTTGTCTCTGAATGATTAAATGTACCTTACTTCCTCTACTGGAAAGACAGGGGGATAAGGATGTGGAATGTAGCAAATTCTGCTAAATGTTGTTGATAAGCTGATTTTACTAAACTGTTTTTTGTTTTTAAATGTTTGTTCTAAGGAAAGGCTTGCTATGTAGGGGTATGAGGATGGACTAGATATAGAAATAAAGTGATATAAAAAACAAAAGGCATCAGTTAACAACACCCAATGAGAAGGTTGGATTAGACAGTCTTGAATTCTCTTCCTACTCTAAATCCTAGGATTTCTATGACGTAAGCACTTTGACAAGTAAAGAAGATTACAAAATTGTGAATTATTGTTGTTACTACTAATAATCAGCACACATTTTAGAACCTTTTGGAATCTAATTTGATCTGTTGGTTTTCTTGAATGAATTAAAACTTGGATTGGTGTTCCTCAAAATACGATTTTTATAAGTTCTCTAAAACACTTGATCAGAGCAAAAGTAACTTTAAAGGAATACTAATCTCAGAATTTTCCTCTTTTGAAGGTCCCTTACTGCTGTATCATGAGAACAATAGTTTGGTATAGCTGAAGTATTTATTAA